CGATTTAGGGTGATTTGCTTTGGAGCCCTGCAATGCAATCCTTGCTGCTCTCTGCCACGTTTTATGGAGCATTGGTGACTATCACCTTTGCAGGTTATTTGGCGGACAGATATGGTCCGAAAGGGATAGTCGTAGGTATCTAACGAACATGTACTGAGGATTTGAGTGATGATACATCATAGCATTCACTCTGGACTACATCATTGTAACGTTGTTAACTCCACTTCTTGCTCGTCACTCATTTGAGGCGTACCTCATTTCACGCATCATCATGGGTCTTGGAGAGGTGAAACATACTCTTAGAAAGTGCAACCTTACTCATTGCTTTATAACAGGGTTTTGTATTTTCCTGTTTTGGGAGTTTCATTGGCAAATGGTACACTATAACAGAGAAATCCACAGCAGGTGCTATGTACACATCCGGAAACCAGGTATGAGTAGAGACTTTAATTCCTTGTGTTCTCCTGTATGCATTACCACGTTCAGTTAGCTGCTGGATTTTCTTCTCTGATTGCTTCTTATCTATGTACGCTGAGCCCTGGTTGGCCAATCGTCTTCTATGTGTTTGGAGCAGCTGGTTGTCTATGGTTAATACCCTGGATAATCTTTGCAACGAACAATCCTTCGACCAATCGATTTATATCAGAAGAAGAGAAGAAATATCTGGCAGACAACATACAACACATGCAATCTTCAGTGGGTATCAGAATCAAAGGCCATCTGCGTGATAGAGTAAAATGCAGACAAACAAAGAAGAAAGCTCTTAAAAATTGTTTATAGGCAGTGTTTGGGCAAGAAGCCGATCAAGAGTTTGAGTTTACATGGGCCTATTCATTGTGGTGCCGAAAACTCACACAGGAGAGCGCGAAAACGGCGAAAAGGGCTTCAACGTAGGAGGAAAATCAGCAGTGGGCGGGGTCTTCCCAAATGTGAATTCGCGCTTCCAGCTTCCGCAGCGTACTTCTCGATTCCGCTTGCAGCCCTGGCATCGCCACCGCCAAGTGCAAATATGTGACTTAAACCGGAACCGAGAAGTTTGCTCCTGAAGCTGGGAGCGTAAATTCACAGTCAAAGACCCCGCCCACCTGCTGATTTCCCTCCTGCGTTGGAGCCAATTTTCGCCGTTTTTGCGCTCTCCAGTTTGGATTTTCGGATTTAGCATAGCTAATAGGCCCTGGTAAGCACAAAATCCTAAAATCGACTTTCGTCTGGAGGCTGCCTTTCGAGTTTGGTAATTGGTTAACCTCATATGAAAATT